CCGGGCTTCAGCTCAGGGGAGCTCGGGCTGCCATGCCCACGGGAGATGCTCCCCGCGGGGGAGGCGGCAATGTGACAGCTCCCCGTGCTGTGTGTAATTTTTCTGGAAATCCACAACTGTTCTAAAATAAAAAAGCTTGTATAAAAAAATAAAAACGGATGGGGAAATCGGCCGGGACGGAGAGTTGAATTATCACTGCTGTCGCATACCTCGCACTCTGTGACCGCGAGTCAGAAAGCAGCTGTGCCGCGGCCGCGCCGGGCGCTGGGTCCGCGGTGGGGGGGGGGGAGTGTGCTGCCCGCTCCCGCGGCTTCCCCGCCCGCATCAGACACCCCTGTGCCGAGCACAGTTCCGGGGGCGCACTTACCCCGATCTTTCACGTTCACGAGAGCATCCCGGCTGTCCCGTCCGCATCGCTGCCGCGAGCCCGTGGGTCCGGGAGGTTGGGGCGCGCGCGGGGCAATCAGGGAGGAAGAAGGGGGAGGTCAGAAGCGGGGCGGGGGTCTTTCCCAGCGTTTCTGTTCGGACGCACCGTCCGTCCCAGCCAAGGATAAGGCAAGAAAGAGAAATAAAAGGGAAAACAGACTGTCGCCGTCATGGGCAACGCGATCCTGCACGGGGGAAAATCCAGAATAACATCAGGGAGCGGATGACAGCGAATGTGAGTCTCGCAAGATGCTGGGACACAAAACCAGCGTGTGGCGAGCGATGGCGTTTCTGTGTCCCAGCAAGCAGAAGCTGTCTAGGATGTTGTGCTCAAAATACCAAATACCTAGGCATAAACCCAAAGTGTTCTGATCACGCTGGGCTCAAAATTCTAAAACACCTTTGAGAGGAATGAGATGAAGTCACAGTCCCTGTTCACGGATGGGAGGCGCAGTCCAGCCAGTTAGTTCGCTCCCTCCCTTTCTCCCCTCCCTGCCCCTCCCCTTCCCTCTCCTCCCCCCCCTCCCCTCCCCTCGTCTCTTTCTTTTCTTTTTGTCTTTCTGTCTTTTGGAACTTGACAAGCTGATTCTAGGATTTATGTGGTAAAGAACCCATATCACGTTCTGAAGAAGAAAGTAGGGATTCTTGCCTTGCTGGATATTAAGGATTATTGTAAAATGGCAGTATGATTATCGGCACGGGTACAAACACATCGGCCAGTGGGGCAGAGGATTGGCGGAGCTGGGGTGCCAGCCAGCAGCCAAAGTATGATGAGGCACTTGGCTTTCCATTGAAAACTCACACACAGACACACAGACACACAGACACACAGACACACACACACACACACACACACCCACCCACCCAGAGAACCCTCACCTTCCTCAGGACAAAAACCAAGAGCAGAGAGAGAGGAGAGACCCACGTGAAAGGCAAGGCCGCGGGACCGGCCAGAGCCGGTTCCGGGAGCGTCTCTGCCGCCTCCAGCTCCGGAGGACCGTCCTAAACCTGCCCCAGAAAGCATAAGCTTTGACAGGATCGACAGATGTGACCTTAAAGACAGACGGTCTCTGAGCTGAGGTCTGCAGCAGGCAGCCGGCAGAGGATTCGCCGTCAGGGTTTGTACAGAATCCCCCTGAATCAGGAAAAAAGACAAAACCCGGTTGTTTAGAACAGAGCAGAGGACTTGAATCCAGAACAGCTCAGGGTCAGAGGCCCTCAGGGAAGGGCAGGTGTAACCTTAATGAGACACCTCTCATCCCCACCAAGGAGGACAGGAGTGTGCAGGGGGGACGGGGGTTCTCTCCCCTCCCCTCCCCTCCCCTCCTCGGGGCGCCCGTCCCCTCCTCTCCCCTCCCCTCCCCTTCTCTCCCCTCCCCTGCCCTCCTCTCCCTTCCTCTCTTTCCTCCTGTCCTCTCCCTTGCCCTCTTCTGTCTCCCCTTCCTCTCCCTTCCCCTCCCTTCCCTGCCCTTCCTCTTTTCTGCCCTCCCTGCCTGACTCCAGCCCTCACCCTTCCTCCCCATCTCTCATTAGGTAACCTGTGTGTGGATTTCTCGTGTACTGTGTTTATTGGTCCGAGAAACATAAGTTTTTGTGCAGACCCCTTTTAAGTCTATCAGGAAGGGGCTGAACCTTTTTCTTCAGTGTCTGAGTTTGTTTTTCTGTTTGTTTTTTCTTGTTGTCCTGTAGATGATGTGGGACTTGTCACAGAAATTGCCTCAGCGTCCACACTGTGCAGGCGTGGGCCGGCCAGGCTCTTCGGGGTGAGGCGGTGGGGGGCCCTGCTGTCCCGGGGCCGCAGCCACGGGCGCAGGCCTCCGCCGGGGTCTTACGGCCTGTGGCCGTGGCTGCGGCCGGTGGCCTGGGTCCTGCCCAGCGTGTGGCCCTGGTACCTGCCTGACCTTCCTCGTGGGTTCCCCGGGAGTCCCCGTGAGCTCAGGGGGAAGAAGGATACGAAAGTGCATCTGGTCAGAGTTCACATCCCCCCTCACCGTGCAGGCCCCGGGTCCACGGTCCCAGACCACAGAACAGGAGCGTCCTTGCCACACAGCCACGTTTCCCAGCACGCCCACTCATCCAGACATGCCATCGACGTCTTGCTGGCGACGCGGGGGGACGTACCCCAGTCTGGCGTCCAGACATTTTGGGGATGGGCCGAGTCAGCGAAGCCCTACTTGAACTCAGCACTCAGGGGCGATACTTGGGGATGCACTAAGGACCATGCATCTTTGAACTTGCGCTCTGAATCGAGCGCGTTGAGATTGACGCCCCTTCTCCCTTGAGCGTGCACATAAGTGACGTGTTATTATGCACCGTTTGTGCGTTTGGCTTTGGTGTAATCAGACCTCTGGGGCTCGGGGCAGACATGAACGGCTCAGGACCGCACTCGAGAGGAGGTGTTCCCATAAGCTGGGGCGCTGGCCCGGCACGGCCACTAGCCAGTCCCAGGATCCGCAGTTTCCTCATCTGTCAACTGGCTTCTCGGTTTCTAAACTCTTTCTGGTTCTAGAGCCTTGGCTCAGATGGAAGTTGAAGGCGGACTTTGGGAGGTGACTCTGGGGGTCCGTTCCGGGGGACGGGATTGCAAGGTGGGGGCTTCCTGCGAACCTGGTTGAGAGCCCTGAGTGGGATGGTTTTCTAAGCACCGTGCTCCTGACCCTTGTCCCTGGGAAGCTACAGCTAGAGTAGGATTTTCAAAAGGGCCTTCTGGTGTCTCTGAAAGTATTTACAGTGGGATCCAAAGTTTTAAAAAATATATAGTATATGAATTTCTTATTGTTTTATGGCATGTGTGAGTAGGGGCGGGGGGGTGGAGAGAGGGGGGGAGGGAGAGCGAGGGAGGGAGAGGGAGAGAGAGAGAGAGAAGCTCACATACGCTCTGCACCCAGCACGGAGCCCGGCACAGGGCTCAATGCCGCCACCGTGAGATCACAACCTGAGCCAAAAGGCAAGATTTGGACCTTACCCAACTGAGCCACCCAGGTGCCCCCAGAATTTTGTATTTTTGAAAGTGAAAAATTTTGTTCGTAAACGAAATACATTTCACCTGTGTATTTTCAGGAAGAAAGGTTCCAGAGTGCTTTTCCGTCACCGTCTCACAGTCTCTCTCAACATGGCAGCCAGGGAGCTCACGTGGCAGGCGGCAGGCTTATGGCTCAGCACTCGGGCTGGCGAGGGGTCCCGGGCTTTGAGAAAAGGCCCTCGTGCAGGTGTTCGGTGTGACACGGGCTGTCGGTCCCCCCGCCTCGGGGAGCCACGCACCGTCTTAGCCCCGAATGCGCCTGGCGTCTTGTAGCCACGCAGACACGCTGCCAAGTTGGGGAAGGGGTGCCAGTTGAGGGGAGGTGTCCCAGACGCCCCGTGGTGGCTTCTCCCCGTGGCCCAGGGTGGGGGGGGGGTCTCGCGGGGGCTTGTTCCTGTGTGCGGCTGCCCCTTGAAGGCCTCACGCCCTTCCCTCAGTCGGGGCGGGGGGTCTTCAGATCTCAGGAGCGCACATCTGGAGCTCCTCCGAGGACTTCTGTCCTTGGACTTGGAACGTGTTCCGAGACACGCGCGGGTTGGCTGACGCAGAACGGGACGGCCGTGCGAGGCGTTACCCGCTGGAGGTAAAGAGCGAAGCGTTAGTACCGCGGCTGATCCGATGTCCTCCGTTTGGTCGAGATTGGAAGGTCTGCCTGAGGGAGCTCACGGCTGCTCTGTGAGACTAGCACTTTCTCCTCCAGGCAGTCGCGAGAGTGACGCCACGTCATGTCTGTCATGACGCGCCTGTCACCGCAGCCCGCTGTGCACCACTTGTCAGGAGCTAATTTTAAACCCAAAGTGTGATTCCTGGAAGTTTTGCCAGAGTTTTCTGGCTCTTCTGCCCGGGAGGAGATGGGGAGTCTCAGGGAGCGCGAGAGAGGCGGCTCCAGGTTTAGGGTGGTGGCCGGAAGCCAGCTCCGTCTCCGCGCCCAGCCTGGGGAGCGAGAGACGGTTCCCAACTACCGGCCCAAGGTGGGTTCAAGAAAATGACTCCTTAAGCTGCGAGTGGCCGGCCGGGCATCTTTCCGAAAGCGTGTCTGGGCGTGTTGGTGACCTCGGGCGTCCCCCCCGCGGCACGCCGCACAGCTGCTCTCGGCCGGGCCCCCCACCCCCGCCAGGGCCGCGTTTCTGCTGTCACCCCGGCCACCTGTCAGCACCTGGGAAGAGGGCGAGCGGTTCTCCCGTTTCCATCATCTCCTGGCTCCCGGTCTCTGCAGAAAAGCTGTGCTGATGAGCGCGAGTAGGTGGAACGTGGCTGGAAACCGAAGTGAACCGGGACGGCCGAGCTGGGTAGATGCCCTCAGGCCAGAAGCTGTCGCCCGCCCTGTTGCAGTCCTGTTGGAGGACTCTGGCGTCCTCCAAGGGGGCTCTCGGTTTCTGATGCGGCAAATAAAAATAACCTGCGACGGAATTAAAACGGTCCTCCTTTAAAAACACGAAGGCCGCTTGCCTTTCCATTGTCTGCGAGGAGCGTCCTCGCAGACTCTGAGTGTAAAGCATTTTCGTGGAAACGCGCGCAGTTTCTGAAACCAAATGCTTTCTCTGTCCTCCAGATGGACTTTCTGGCCGAGACCAGCCTGTGGAACTGCTAAACCCTGCCCGCGTGAACCACATGCCCAGCACGGGTAAGTCGGCACGCCCCGCCTGGTGGGCACGGGCTCATCCGGGGGGCGTTCGGAGGCTCCACCTACGGGGGGTGTGGGGGGGGCAGGTGGGCCATCAGATCCGTTGACTCCTGTGCTCTTTTCCGGGGATGAAATAGGCCACCCGTTGAGGAAGTGCATCGGGCGTTGCCTTGAGGTTATTTCAGTGGCCAAGGAGTGAATCTTTTCCGTCTTGAGCTCCGAAGGGCGTGTTCTTCCCAGAGGGGCCACCTGCTTCTCTTAGGCGTGACCCCGGCCCCCGTCCGTAGGAGGGCCCCCCGGGAAAGAGTTCTGGGCCCAGGCCAGGGCCAGAAGTCCCCCGCCCGGCATGGCCGGGCTGCTGGCCACCACAGGACCACGGGCCAGTCCCGCCTCACCCACGGCCCCGGCTTCTCGTTGCTTTAGCCGCTCAGTGACAAGGTCTCCCAGTCATCTTGTCCTTCTTTCATCAACTAAAGAACGTCAGCCGTGATCAGGAGTCTTTGATTCCATGTATGAGATTTCCAAATATTACGCCTTAAGCAGTGTTAAGCAGCGTTTTCCGAATCTAGATGGCTGTGGAAACATTTTTTCCAGTCTTTTGCTTTCTGTGAAACACCTGCCCCCCCATCCGGTGTCCTCCAGGATTTCAGCTCACAGCCTGGGCGCCTTCGGGTCCCCCTCACAGGCTGCTCGGCCGTCCCTCCTCGGGGCCCGGGGTGTGAGTTGGCCGCAGAGCCCCGGGCCGGCGTGTCGAGGCCAGCGCCGCCGGACCCTTGCCTTCGCCAAGGCCTGTGTCTGGGTGGTCCCCGGCCTTCGTGGGCGCCACCCCGCCCGCTCCCTCTGTGGGCAGCGCCGGCGGACCCCTGCCTCTGCCCCGGCCCCCGTCGGGCCCGCCCACCGCCTCGCCGTCCCCCATGCCCTTGAACGAGGCTGGCGGTGCCGGAGGAGAGCCGTCCCTGCCTCTCCTTGGCGTTTCCCCAAACACAGCATCTTGTTGCTTCTCCGTGGTGCTCCTGGCCGGTGCTCGGGCGCTCCGTGCCCCTGGGGCCGCTCACGGCCCGCCCCAGCTGCTGCTGCTTCCCCCCGCCCCTTCACTTGTGACCCCGCGCGGAGTGGGGGGCAGGGAGGCTCCACGGTAGCACAGGAGGTGCCCCAGTTTTGGTCCGTGTGGAGCGACCCGTGCTGGTTGCGACTTGCCCTTCAACTCCTTCTGCCGGTGTTATTCCTGTTTAAACGCGAGTCCCCGTGTGGCCGGGCATGTTGAGACTGGCTCCGAGAGCCCACCCAGGGGTGGGACAGAGGAGACTGTGCAGATGGCCCGACGCATCGAAAAGGGGGCAGGTACGTGTCGCTTCCACGTGAGCCACAAAGAGGTGGGCTGCAAATGGATTTTCTGGTGGCTCGGTGAGAACACGCTGCCTGTTGAGACCCGGCTTGGGACTCGGCTTAGTGTCAGACGGCCCGTGGGCTTCGCCTTTGGGCTGAGGGACCCCTCGGCTGTGGCCTGAGGCCGGTTGCTGAGTTTCTGTTTTGTTTTGTTTGCTCATCTCTTAGACGGGGATACTAATGCCTTGTCCGCAGGATTCTCAGAAGGATCGAATATACAGGTCTGATTTTTAGTAGTTCCTGGACAGATGCCATCCCTTCGTGTCCCATTGACAGACACAGAACACGGTGTGTGGCGTAGCTGGGACAGAGCCGGGTCGGGTCCCAGGAGTGTCCCCCGGGCCGTTGAGCCTCCTCCCCTCCTTTGCGGGGAACCTCCTGCCTCGAGGAACACGCCTTGGGGAGTGTGCCCCCAGGGAACCGAAGCAAGTCCTTTGGCCTCCCGGGAGCCAGATCCCCGCGGGCCGAGTCGGATACTGCTGCGTTTTCTGGTGCTTTTGCTTTTTGTGTGTGTGTCACCGGTGGTGAGTGCTTGCAGTGGGGGAGCCGTGCCCATGGGGTGCCGGCGAGGAAGGGGGCGCGTGCACGCGGTGCCAGGGGTGTGACGTCGGCCGTGAGGCTTGCGCGCGAGGCGCCGCAGAAGCCGCCGAAGTGAGGGGGCGGGGCCTTCCTCACGGGTCCACGCAATCGGCCGGGCCAGCCCACAGTCAAGTACGTCACACCAAAAATGTTGATTCAGGTTAATGAAGGATTTGAAACTTAATACGAAAACTTCCTTCACAGCCACACGGTGATGATGCGGGAGTAGCAACGATGTTCTCTGTACTTCTCTGTCCATCCCGGTCTGCCTTGGTGGGTTCTCTGGCAGTCGAGTTTAACTTCGGCCGTCTTTTGACACGTGGCAGTGTGGACGCAAGCCGATCCGTGACACGGTTTGCAGGAGTGACTCTGGCGTCCACCTGGGGAGCCGGCTCCTTGAAGCAGTAGCTGGCGCACCGAGTAGGAACGGGCTCGGGTGGCCTCCCCCACCGTTGACCTGCACGCACCTCCCGGCTCTTCCAGGTTGTGAGCGATGGTGACCTCAACGCAGGCTTCTTCTGATAATGGTTCTCTTTAAATAGTCCTTACCAAGACTGACTTCAGATAGAAAAGCACTATTCCCATCTTTTGTGTGCCCTCTTGAATCGAGACCTGAGGTAATTCTTAAAAAGAATAATGTCTCGTGGCAGAAAAGTCTGTATCGTAGAAGGAAAAGGCCAAAATTCTAGTCAGTTGGGGTTACTTCTGATTTCTTAACCTCCCCTGCCCTGTAACTTCTCACAGGTAAACAAGCCTTTCCTTCTGCTTTTCCTTGCTTTAAAATTTGTAAATGCAGGGGCACCTGAGTAGCTCAGTCAGTGAAGCATCTGACTCGTGACTTCGGCTCAGGTCACGATCTCAGGGTTCGTGAGTTTGAGCCCCACATTGGGGTCTGTGATGACAGTTCGGGGCCTGCTTGGGATTCTCTCTCCCTCCCTCTCTCTCTCTCTCTCTCCCTCCCTCCCTCTCCTCCCCCTCTGTTCCTCCCTTGCTTGTGCACGTGTTCTCTCTCTCTCTCTCTCTCTCTCTCAAAATAAATAAATAAATGAAGTAGAATTTGCAATTGCAAAGTAGTCGTATCCTAGAAGAAACCATACAGCCGCTTGCCCACCACTCAGATACAGCAGATCCTGTGCTACTGTTACTCTAGGTGAGCATCGTATTTCTGTTTTCCGAAGTGAAATAACACCGTTGCGGGCGTGGCTACAGCTGTTCGCCCCTCCCGGAGACTGTCCTTTTTCTTCCCGGGTGGGGACCTGGGGCACAGACGCCACAGCCGGGCGGGGGCCCTGAAGAAGCCACGCCATCAGCTCTGTCGGGTGGGGAGAGGTGTCGGGGATCGAGGACAGAGGGGAAGGGGAGAGATGGGCATCTTGGGGAACAGGAGGCCCCAGGACCGCACACCCACCTGCATCAGGTGCTTGGGTTCTAGTGCCCTTGGAAGACGTTTAAGTCACTCATTCCTGAATCGTCGTAACTGTTTTGGAGTTACAAGCTTCTCCCTCTGATTATAAAAGCGACATCTGTCAGGGGAGAGACACGGGGTGCCAGACGTGCTGGGTGCTGGCTCCCAGAACTGGGAGGGGGCTCACTCGGGTGCTACCCGGTGTGGACGCTCAGCAGCCCTGACGGAGGGAACGGGGTCGAGGGGAGGCCTCGGTCGTCCAGGAGCAGAGTGGAGGAAGCGAGACCGGAGCGGGAGCAGGACGCATATTTGAAGCACGCCGCAGTTAACCGACGGCGCGCACGGGGCTGTCCACCAGGCGTGTGTGCTCGCCACGGCAGCCACGCGCCCTCGCTGGGCACCCGGCATACGAGTTATGGGGCAGGACCCCCGTGTTCCAGTGCTGCTGGAGAAGAGACCGCCTCAGACGAGGTCAGGCCCCCGAAGGTTCCGCAGCTACGGGATGCAGGCACCGTCGCCCGTGATACACGCGCCCCTAAAGTGCGCATGTGGGTCAGCTGGGGAGGCTCCTTAGGAAGGCGGTATAACAAAGGTGAAATTTAATTTTTCGAAGGAAATTCCGGCCTCTTGAAGAAACTACAGAAACTCCCGAGAACTTACCCAAATGAAGACAAAAAGCGAGGACTAGCTTTAAACATGGATTCCCACGCCGTGAAGGGTATTTGACCAGCACGCTGTCGAAGTGGCGACGGAATTTCTTACACACGTCTTGGAGTTTGGAGCAGGAGCCGTCTGGGCTGGCGCGAAGCTTCTGGTGCCTCGCAGGCACGTTGGTTGTGCCGTTTGGTTTCCGTGAGAGGAAACGCATCTCGTGAGGCAAACGCAGACGTGAGACCTGTGTGACCCCGTGCGACCCGGGGAAAGCACCAGAAAAGCTCCCTATTGGCACCTGAGCTGATTAGTTACTTTAACCAGAAGATCCCCTGGGAACAAAGCCCGTGTGGTAATACTTCTCATGTGATGCTCCTTCGTGTGTGTGTGTGTGTGTGTGTGTGTGTGTGTGTGTGTGTGTGTGTAAGGTGAGGACGGGCTGCGGTGGAGGACTGGGCTGCCTTGTGTGGCTCCTGCTGGGTGCCAGGTGGGGTCGGGGATCGTGCTCATTGATCTCCTGGTTCTGGCGCCATCGTGACCCTGGACGACCCTGGGACCGGAGGCAGTGCCCCCCGGGACGCGCTCCGTCGTGGCCGAAGACGGGCCGCCCTCCGCCTCAGGTGGGCCCGTGCAGGGGCGCGTGGGGCATATAGCACGCATCTGCCCCGCTGTCCCAGGGGCCTGCCGCGCTCCTCCTGCTTGCTTGTCTGCTTTCAACTTGGGAGGAAGAATGAAACCCAGAACATAAAGATGCCGAGGTCAAGTTCTGCAGTTTGAAAATTTGAGAAGAGTCCCAGTTTGATTTGCTCAGTCTAAGCAAATGCGGAGAGTTTTCCTGCTTCCCTCCCCGCACAGGCTCACCCGAGAGCCCCTGTGAGCAGCCCTGACTTAGCCCGGACTGAGGAGCCTGGGGCCCACGGAAGCCGGAAACCTGAGTGTCACTGGGAGTATCCAGGGAGGCCGCACAGCTGTACATGTG